GTGGAAGCTATTGGTGACTTTAGTGCAGGCTAAAGTGGCACGGTGGGGACAAAAGCTGGACTGTGTAAGATTTGAAAAATGCTCAGAAGATAAGGGAGCAGAGATGGCTATTTGCTGAATGAAGTTAACCAGGATGGAGGGGTGTGTGTATGTGGAGATGGGAGAGAACTGAGTATTTATATCCTGAGGGGTAAAAGGTAGGGATAAAGACAGGGTTGAAAATAAGAAAGGAAGGGATAAGAGATGAAGTAAAGACATTAGCTGGTTACTTTGGTTAAACGAGTAGGTAATTATGTTGTTATTGATCAGATGTTAGCTGTACCATATAGACAGAAGTTGACATAGGTCCTAAGCTGTGAAGGAAAACACTTTGTGGAGTGTAATAGACGTGTGTGTATGAGAAGTCTTGAGCTGGGAAAGGACTTTTTTTTTTCTTATTTTATTTATTTACTTAGGGAAAAAGAGAACCCAGAGAAGGGCAGAGGGAGAGAATCCTCAAGCAGACTCCTCACTGCGCAGGTAGCCCCACGTGGGGCTTGATCCCATGACCCTGAGATCATGACCTGAGCTGAAGCATATGCTTAACTAATGGAGCCACCAGGTGCCCCAGAACTGGGAAAGGACTTCTTAAACATGATCCCTGGGGTGCTGACAATAGGCAAGAAATGGATAGATTTGTCTGTATCAAAGGTTCTCCCACTTCCACATGTACAGAAACCACAGGAGGGCATCTTAAAAACAGATTCCTAAAGTCTAATGCAGTAGGTATAAGTTGTTTACATTTTTATTGAAATAAATTATATCTAAAAAGGTCATACTCGGGATCCCTGGGTGGCTCAGTGGTTTAGTGCCTGCCGTCAGCCCAGGGTGTGATCCTGGAGTCCCGGGATCGAGTCCCGCACTGGGCTCCCGGCATGGAGCCTGCTTCTCCCTCTGCCTCTCTCTCTCTATGTCTATCATAAATAAGTTAAAAAATCTTAAAATAATTTAAAAAGGTCATACTCAAAATACATCATATCCGAGTTACTACATTTTACTATCATGTGTGTTCTTGAAGTTATTTTTGTCTATTCTATCCGTATTTAGGTAATACTCTGTAATGCCGTGCTGCTGTGCATCTTGAGATTTTCCCAACAAATGCCAGGATCTTGCAATCAAGCCATGGTGGGAGTATTTACACCAGGGAAATTGGCCAAGGCTACACATCAAAAAACCCTGCTGGTCCCCCCCCCCCCCGCCCTTTGTGGAGAACTAGTTGTTTCACTCTTACCAGCACACCACTGAATATGGTCTTTAAAGAAATCAGGTGTGGTATCAGCAGTGAGGAAAATCAAAGCATAAGTGATCTGCTGGGCTGAGAAAACTGTATTCATTGGAGCCAGTGGAGAAGAGCAGAGGTGGAGGTGTGGCAAACTGACCCCATCTTTTTGCACTCATTCACTCTCCAGATTCTTTCAAAATCTTGTCTGGATAGTTGCAGCCCAAAGCAGAAATGAGGGTAAGCAACTCCGGGCCAGGTTCCCAGTCCCGTCCTGACCTGGCCACCAAGGCAGCTCTGGCCGGGAGACCAGGCTAGTCAATGGCGCCCTCTAGTGTCGAAGAACAGACTGGCTCCAAAGAGGAGTGCGGAGAAAGCTGTTTTCTATGGGTTTAGACCCTGGAAACATGAACTTCCCTGATCCTCTTCCTTTCTTTTCCTCTATATTCTTTCCCCACTTCCATTTCCCTGCTTTTTGAGTCACTTCCTACCTACTCCCCCAACAAGAATATTATTTTTTGATAGATCTGAATTCTGTGTAGCTCCCAGGCTACCATTGATAATACTGAGTTGAATAGCATAAAGATATGCAAATCAGTACTTGCCTATATTACATATAATAACTTGGAATGAATTGGTTTAGGAAAGCTGTAAAAAATCTGCTCTTGGGTGTCACATAAGTCAAATGTTTCCTTGCCTTTGAAGCATACCCCAGACCCTCCCCATTTCTGGGAACAGGGGCAGATGAAGTAGTTTTCTTAGTGTGTTGTAGTTTAACAAACAACCCTAATTTCACTCTTTTATGAAGGTCTGCATTCAGTCTTTTGTTTGAAGTGAGAAAAACTGTATATGGCTGAGTTCTCATAGCTGCAGGGTCCTCCAGAAATTGGATTGCCATCCTAAGGTTGCTGTTTCCTGCTGGAAAAGATTTACTCTGCATCTAGCATATTGGAGAAGTAATATGGTAGCTCCTTAACAGAGTTACTTTTCTTTTGTCCCTTTAGAGATTGGAGGGCTGAGCATAATTAAAGAACATTTAATTAGCTGGCCCAAAATTGTTCCACTTTGATAATTCCCATCTTTTTAAAAAAAGATTTTATTATTTATTCACGAGAGACAGAGAGAGAGAGAGAGAGAGAGTCAGAGACAGAGGCAGAGGGAGAAGCAGGCTCCATGCAGGGAGCCTAATGTGGGACTCAATCCCAGGACCCCAGGATCACGACCTGAACTGAAGGCAGATGCTCAACCGACTGAGCCACCCTGGTGCTCCTAATAATTTCCATCTTTACATTAAGGATATCTAACTTAAAAGTTCATTGTTATTTCTGATGCTAGTTTTCTCACAAAATTAGTAAGGCACAAATACCATCCTCTGTAATGTGTGTAGGAGAGCAGCCTGACTCTAACAAGGTGGTCTGAAGTGTTGGAAGTGGAAGTGACGGTAACATTACAGCTACAGATACAGGATCCAGGCTTTGGAGCAGACTTTTTCCAGGACCTGTTTTTTTCAGTTTTTTTATTTTTTATTTTTATTTTTTAAAGATTTATATATTTACGAGAGAGAGAGAGAGAGAGAGAGAGGGCAGGCAGAGACACAGGCAGAGGGAGAAGCAGGCTCCATGCAGGGAGCCTAACGTGGGACTCGATCCCGGATCTCAGGATCACAACCTGAGCTGAAGGCAGACACTCAACCGCTGAGCCACCCAGGCATCCCTTTTTTAGTGTTTTCAAAAACAACACACATAGTTTAGAAATCTCATCTTGAGACTGCCAGGGTATACAAACACAAGGCTTTATTTCAAGTGAGGGTCATGGGTTTTGCAGTGAACTCAGATGCTATTTGTATGAGCAAGACTTCATTAATAACTTTATGAAGGTCACTCTTATAGAGGGTATAAATTTTGCTTTAGAAAATAAGCCTAAGCTACAGGCTACAAAGTGTTTTTCTAAGAAATCGAGGATCCTGATAGAAAAGTAGAATTCAGTTTGGGGCATTTGGCTGGCTCAGTTGGTAGAGTATGTGACTCTTGATCTCAGGGCTGTGAGTTCGAGTCCCATGTTGGGGTATTAGTTAAAAAAAAAAAAGGTAGAAGTCAATTCTGCCCATTTGTGACTAAACTATTACATATAACAAGACCTGGGTATTCCCATGGTCTTAGATGCTTAACAAACTTTGCATTTTATGAAGTGGTGTTAAACTTAAAAGTGTGTGGCATTGTTGTTACGAGACCCTGGGAAGTTTTGAGTACAGATTTTACCACTAAAAGTGGATCTAAATCCTGTGTGGTCTCTAATTGTCCCCTGACCCTTACATAAATGACCCACTCCTTGGGATGACATTCTCCTCATTCCCCTACTAGCCTCAGAAACATCCTGGCTCTTTCCTGCCCATTTGCTGCACAGTTAATGTTCCAGGTTACTTTTCTCACATCAGTATGCTTGAAATGTTATCAAATCTCAAAAGCTTCTTCAGCACTCCTGTGGTTTTAAATGTATCTCATGCTTTGACTGTTAACATTTCTTTTATTCAGTTAGCTGCAACAACCCTGGTTTTGACTGGAAATAGACAAGTTGGTTCTCCAGTTTTTCCGTGACCATCCCATTTTATGTCCAAATCTTCATGGACCTTGAAGTAAGCCCTTATGTTGGCATGCTTCTATTAAGTAGAATAAAAGCTTATTTATACATCATACTGTCAACTTTCTAATTTCCATTAATTAGCTCTTTGGAAAAAAAATTGACATTTCTGGTAAACTTCGAGACATTAGGACTTCAGTGGTTTCTGAGATTCAACTGACTTAGTTTTAGTGCCATTTTATTATATTCTTAAATTTTTGCACATTGATAATCCATTTGGTGCATTATAGAACTCTTAGGTGCCATCTGCTCAAGAGAGGAAATTATCTGAGCGACTACTGTAGGTCAAATGACTAAGTATTTATTTGTGCTGAGCCCTGAGCATTTATTTTGGGGAAACTTTGTTCCATCCTCGGAACTAACTTTGGGGTCTGTTGTACCTAGACCTACTGCACTGTGTCCTTTATGAAAACCTAGTCTAGAGATTTCACAGATGACAAACCTGAGGCACAAACCCAGGTCTTCTGGGCTCAGTTGAGAGCTCTTCTCACCATCAGGCTGTTCTTAAAGGAATGAGTCAGTCTCTCTTCCATGAAAGACTCCAAGTCTAATTCTGTAAGGCAGCTTCAATGAAAAACTAAGTCTTGGCTGCTTCTGAAAACGACTGTCACTCTCAGAATCAAAAACGACTAGTACACAGGCTTAAAAACCAAGTCATTTAATTGTGTCTTGAAAGGTAAACAATAAATGGAGCTGGATCCTGAGCCCTGAGGGTGCCAGGGCTACGGGTACAGAGTTCAATGACTCAGAACTCAGGGCGTTCTAAGGCTTATGGAATTCATGCATTCCCTTTTGCAGTTTTGCAGATTGCCAATAACCAACCCCAAGAGTCTTGTGAGATTGGGGAAATTCAACTTCCAGTTATATAGGTAGAAGAGTGAAGAGGACCAATAATGTTTACCTTCCCTTCACTCTTCTCGCAGGGCCTGCAGCCTGAGCTCTCATATTCCCCACCCCAGCAGCCTCAGTGGCCCTGAAGGTGTGGCCTCAGGCCCTGTCTACTCGCTTCTCTGCCACAGCAAGAGGGACCTGGGCCAGAGTTCTCAGTGGTACAGCTTTTCAACAAGCACTTAAAATAAAAAGAACCCTCAAGTGGCACACTGAGTTCGTTTATAAGATTTTAATTTACAAATTAAAAAGCTACAGGTTTTATTTTTTCTCCTTTTTCTCTTCTTTCTTGCTGTCACCCTTTTCCTTCTCCTTCTCTTTCTCTTTGTCATCTTTTCTATCCTTTTTGCTCTCTTCTTTTTCCTGCCCTTCTTTCTTCTCTGCATCGCGGTTGGCGATCTTGTTGTTGATGAGGTTGTGCAGGGCGACCACAGAACGGATCAGTGAGGCCAAGTACACCACTACCATCTGGTCGTTGGTCTTCAGGTAAAAGGCCTTGACAAACTCCTGGAGGCTGACGTCCGGCAGCAGGTTGAAGACATCCTGTAGCTGGTAGATGATCTGATGGTTGATGGGCAGCTTGCCCGTGGCCACTTTCTCCAGGTAGCTCCTGATGTCCAGAAGCTTGGAGTTTAGTCCCTTCAAACCATGGACCTGGTTTGTAATCCTCTGTGAAAGAGTGCCCACCGTAGTGTCTTTGATGTCTCTGTGATCACCCACAAGAAGAAAGGTGGGAAAAAGCGTCAGCGTACTGGATTATCATCCAGGTTTGCAAAAAGCTAGGCAAACCTGCCGCTTTGTGGGGGAGGGACAAGTTTTCAGAAGAATGTTACTTCATCATTTTATAAACTGCCTTGGTTTTGTTTTTATTTGGAGGCATGTATTTCATCTTTCTCATCACAGGGCAGATTTCAGAAAAAGAGAACTAAAACGAAACCATTTTCATTTAAGGAAAAGCTATCTATTTCAATTTCCTTGCTCTTGAGAAGAGTGCCATTTCCCTACCTGCATCATACAATGTGGTGAGAGGCGTACATCAATCAGGACTACCTTTCTGAATGGAAGGAATCTTACCTCAGAAAACCTGTGACCCTTTCAAACTATGTCAGGGTTATGGTATCTTAAAAGCCCATCCTGACATGTAGCTTCTTTTCAGTGAAAATGGCATACACAGGACATGCACCTGCATTTCCTTCCCACACGCATTCCTGTCACCAGCCACACTGCCCATGGTCACAAATTCTAACTCAGGACGCTCCAGAAACAACCCAGGCCTGGCACCCAGGTCTCTCCACTCCTGATAGAGCCTCTGGGGCCACTTATGGTCCTGATGCTATCTTAAGGCTCACCGTAACAAGTGCTCGACTCCAACTTCCTCGGCTTCCTCTGCTCCAATCTCACTGGTCACATGCTCAAATGTTTTTGAGGTTGGCGTTCCATCCTGGGAGAGGAGGCTCAACTATAGTTATTTACTTACAAACACGCTGGTACATGTTCCTTTAACAGGGTGGCTCCCGTGTTTTCAGTCGAATCACCTCATGGTGAATTACTAGGCTTCCTGTGTGCCGGAGAAACGGGTAAGGTTTGCTTTGAAAGCTCAGCCTTCTAAACGGCCACTGCAGTGGCCCTGCTCAGTGTTTGAGGAGAATCCTGATAATCCCTTATGCCCACTGTGGGGATGGACACTTGAGGAGGTCTCAATTAGGTTGATTTTTATAGGATATACTTCTTTCTAGAATTGGCAGTACATAGAATACCTGTACAGGAGGCAAGCTCAAGTCAGATAATCTAACTTTTAACCACCTACTGTCCTTTAGATCAAATGATGCCAGAGCACCAAAACAGTACAGTCAGAAAAACCAGCTTTCTGGTGGCCTGAATGAATCAAAGGGTCTGTCCAAGGATACGGTTCACTATATCATCTAGTGACTTCCCGATGGGATTCAGGAGCAACTTTCCTCAGCTCTTGTGCCAGAAGAGGCTGCACATCTGTAACGTCTATAAGACGTCTGCAGGGCAGGACAGCACAGCAGTGAGGATAGACGCTGTAGCCAGACCGCCTGGGTTCCAAGCCTGGCTATGCCATGTACAAGGGAGCTGTGAGACCTTGGTAAAGTCACTTAACTTATACTAAGAGGTATACATGTTAGCAGTTATTACTTTGCCAGGACAGTGTGAATCCTGCAAATACCATTTTCCTCTTGACATTGTATGCTAGAATGGTCAGGTCCTCACGGCATGCCTTTTCAGGTGCTCATTTTCCCTTGGCTTCATCTTATATTGTGGCCTTCATGTCCCTTCTGTCCCATATTTAAAATCTTGCTTTATTTGTGTGTGTGTGTGTACAGGAGCCTCGGATTCCTTCTTGAAAAAGGCAGGGTAAAATTAACATAAAAAACTATTAAACTGTATTAAAAGTCTTACTGTAACAAGGAAATAAATTTTGATCTAAGCTCCCTGGTGGCAAGGCAAAAAGAAACAGGTGGACAGAACTCTGTGCAAACAATATTTGCAGGAGTTAACATAAAAATTTTTTCCTGATTTAAAAACTGAATATAAGGATAAAGTCTACATATCTAAATCCAAAGACTTTTATTTTTATCTCTCAGACTTTTGACTTTGGAAATTCAAGATTGAGCTCAAGTGCAAAACTTTAAGGTCAGAACAAAACACACATCTATTTTCACATCAAATGCTACCCTCGAATCTGAAGTTAGTTTTCCTGGAAACAGAGAAAAGCTAAATTCGGCACCTCTTCATGTCTACTCCCAAAGCACACAGCAGGTACTGGATGCTGTAGAGCTGAGTACTCAGGTGTCAAATCACACAGATGGGTCTTGCCATCTGGCTCCAGAAAACTTCTGTCTCAGCTATAGGAAAAGAAAAGTTTCAAGGAGAAAGAAATGCTGGCACAGGGGAGCTTAACAGTGGAAAGTGCATTAGATTAAGCTCACCAGGCTCTGCATTTACTTTGCTATAAACATCTCTGGGCAATCATATGATGACTTTGAGCCTCGATTTCATGTGTAAAAGGGGATTTTAGATTTCTGTGGTCCTCTTGATTTCTAAAATTTGAGGATTTAAAAACCCAAGGGGGGGGGGAACATAATATCAAACTGTTGACAGAAATCAGCAACCTACTCTTTGTTAGAGAGAGAAGATTTGTTGACTTAAAAACAACATAAAATTCAAATTCTCCAGTAAGCAGTGGATCTAATCTTGTTGGCTCATAGCAAGAGGACTTACATCATGGACTTCTTCCACTGAAATATATGCTTCTGTGGGCAGTCCCAGGTCCTTTGGCTTCACATCAATGATGACCAGTACCTGGGAGAAAAACACACCTTACCACACCACCTCATACCAAGCACAGAAGGAAAAATCACAGCTGTGTTTCTGATGATGATTACTGAAGCTATTTCATTCATTCAATTAGACAAGAGCTGGAATTTTCAGCAAAAATGAGTCTACATTTCATGTGATCCCACCATCTGCTCTGCTCTTCACCCCCATCATTAACAAGCTGAGAGGGGGTATAGTGTGGTTATCAAGCATGAGGAAGTCAGAATCAAGACAACCAACGGTTTGATCCTGGTGCCAAAATGTATGAGACCTTACTAACAATTCTGAACCTCCGTTTCCTTCTAAGGAGGAGAACGAACCCCATATAGCTATTGAGAGGATGATGCACTTAGCAAACGTTTACTGCTATTTACTAAATATCCTGGGTCACCATGTACTATATACATAACACTACCAATTAACACAAGCAGTTTAGAGAAAAAGCAGTGAAATGATAAGCTACTCGAATCCTTCCTAGGATGCTTATATAAGCCAGTTGGAAGGATATTACTCAAGAGTTTTATTTTTATTATTATTATTTTTTAAAGATTATTTATTCGAGAGAGAGATAGAGGCAGAGGGAGAAGCCAGCTCTATGCAGGGAGCCCGACGTCGGACTCGATCCCGGGTCTCCAGGATCACACCCTGGGCCAAAGGCAAACGATTCACTGCTGAACCACCCAGGGATTCCCCTCACTCAAGAGTTTTAAAGATAAAGTATACTTACTGAGTTAGGGCAGTATCTTTTCATGAGTTCGTTAATGGCGATGTCATTCTTGTGTAGTTTAGGGCCTGTGTGGTACCACCCAACTATTCTTTCTCTGGCTGGAAGGAAAACATTAGTGAATTTGAACTGTTACATGAAGATCTATAGAATTCTCTCAAAAAGGGTGGTTAAGAACTCTAATCCTTATGCTCTCTACCTTTTTCAAAATTCTAGACATCTATTTTCAACCCTGACATACTTGTGAAATCTAAAACTGAAAAACAAAATTCTCAGAAAACAAGCAGGGAAATCCAGAGATATCTGTATTTCAGACTAGTTTAGACTAGTCACACATGACACTAGAACATAATTCCAAGGCAACATATAAATGAATGTAACTCTATGTCACAGAGATTGGAACTGTGACTGTTGTGGGAATAAACATTTCTAAAGCAATGAAATAAAATGAAAATGACACATGTGACAGAGATACATTTACCTTGATGGTACTTAAGCTCTAGAGGCAGGTGGATTTTGATAGTTCTTCACTTTTCTGCTACAGAGGGCCAGATCTAAAACCTACGTAGGTCTAGCTGGCCTTAAATTGCTACTCTTGTTTCTCATTTATTCTGTCTCATTCCTCTACTGCCACTGGTCTTAAGTGCAGCTAGGCCAAAGCCCTTGACATTAAACAAAGAGAAGGGAATACTGAGAAATGGAAAGACACCAGGGCATGTACCTGCGCGCACGCGCACACACACACAAATACACACATAAATCAATGCCACAATGCCTTCTTAAAAAACAAAACATCAAGACATACCATTGACCTTCTTAAACATTCCATACATGTTTTCCAAATAATCATGGTCTAAAAACCAGACAGAATCATCTTTGTCGTCTTCATCAAAAGGGACTAAAGAAAAAGAAAAATAAGATTCAGTTTAGGGTGCTAGATAGGAGACGCCATGCCACATCTGATCCACCTAAGTGGTTTGTACAGCATGGTATTAAAATTATCTTTGAGTTGTACTCGTTAAAAACTGGGAGATTTCATATAAAAATCCAGACTTCCAGCTTCTCTTGTAATTGAAGATCTGGCAACAACTGGCTAGAGCCAGATGAAGTTTCCCCCTTTAAAATGGACACACGCCCGTCAGTTTGCTAACAGCCCCATCACTTCCTAATTATTTCCCTTTGACAAATAACATTTCTGTTTGGTCCTTTCAGATTTTGGAGTTTGTGACCTCTAGTCTAGAGTTCACTCTAGGGCAATTATTTTGCTCTTTGTTTTACTTTAACCATAAAATACATGGACACATTCTTGTAAAGGTTCATGACACCGAGGAAAAATTAATGGTCTCCATCTCCCCCTGCCAACCCATAACTGGTTAATAGTTTAGTGCAGGGATTTATAAACGACATCAGAGCTGACTGGTTTTATAAACTTTTGCTAGAATACAGTTATCCTTTTGTCAACACACTGTCTATAGTTGTTTTGCTGCTACAATACAGGGCTGAGCACTTGTAATGGAGACCATATGGCCTGCAAATTTAAAATATTTACTCTTCAGTTTAGTGAGTAACTTTTAGCTTCCTTCCTATACTTCAGCAATTCTGACAGAATTTCTGAGTTGTAGTAAAAATGGAAATCACAAAAGTCTCTTTTATTAATTTTAAAGATAATTAACATTTTAAGCCAGGTGTAGAACAATGTAAGACTTGTCTTGTACCTGCAAAACTGTTGGATACGTCGAGTACCTTCTTTTGCCATGACCCCAAAAGCACACCGACAACGCGCTTCTGGTTTCCAACCTTGCCTATTCTGAAGGAGAAAGCAGAAAGTCAGTCTGATAGGCACACAGAGACATGGAGCCAACAATGAGACACTCAATACGAAACATCAATGGTACAGATACAACTCCACTTACCTGGGAACTAATCCCACTAAACCAATGTAATAGTGTCAGGTCAGTCCTTAATATTAAATTCTAATAAATACAATGGGTAACTCACCAACTTTGTACATAGGTAGTATTTACACTGTTGACTCCAGAAACACATGCTTGGAAAAATGTCAAACTTTCTAGAACCTTAAAATGGAGAAAATGGACACCCCCACCCCCCCAGCAGGGCTTAAGAGTTTTAAAATGCTATTTGGTTGGTGTTTGAAAAGTATATTTAAGTTATGCTGCCACTTTTAACTTTTTCTTTTGCACTTTTCTCCTTTAAACTTTCCCCATCTTCTGTATCCTTAAATATTGTCAGAGATAAAGATGCTAAAGCAGACCACGTTCATGGGCTGGCTTGCCAGGTGTTCTCTGGGGTATCTATTGCACGCAGACAAGCCCCACCACATGTCCGCCTTCTCTGAACCATCTAGGGGCTCAGAAAGTGGGTTCTGACGCCGAGGTAGGCGTGTACCCCCTGTGGTCTCCGAATGGCTTCACCAGGCAGGATCAGAAGTGAGCTGGTGACTGATCACACTGACAGGATGGCTGGAGGAGTGAGAAAGGGTTTGCTTCGGAATTTCTACCTACTTGTCAAACCTCCTCAGTGACTTCTGTCCTCAGGAGCTGCAAGTGTTTCACTTACACAATCTCATTTCATGGACCGTCATGTAGAATTCTCCCCTAAGCACTAGCGGACGTGAGACACAGAGCACACTAGAACTCTACGTTCAAACCAAAGACACGGGCCACCATGAAACGAACCTGAGTTCCTTAACAGTCACTGGTTTCACTGTAATGTTTTCCTAAACATCTGGTCTGGCAAATCTATAAATGCTCACTAAATTTGGGATTTGGGTCAGAGTGAAGGATTCTGTATCCCTGATGGTTCTGATTTTTGGGGAAATCTTATACACCGAATTTCCACACTTCAAAGGAAACTTCCACACTCATGTGCTTTTCTTTTGGTCTACAAAAATCTGTTTTTTTTTTTTTGTTTGTTTTTTTTAAACCCTACAACTGGGCAGCCAGGGTGGCCCAGCACTTTAGTGATCCTGGAGTTCTGGGATCAAGTCCCACATTGGCCTCCCAGCATGGAGCCTGCTTCTCCCTCTGCCTGTGTCTCTGCCTCTTTCTCTCTCTCTCTCTCATGAGTAAATAAATAAAAAAACCTTAAAAAAATCAAAAAAATAAAAACCCGACATGTGTTGCTATGACGCCGCAGCTAGCAGCGGGTGTCTGCACTCCGGCCGGCCCCTGGATAGGAGTGAGAGGGAGCCTGCCCCAGTGGCACGTCCAGTACCCTGTGGGAGGAAGGAGTGCCGGCGGCACAGTGGGAACGCACGCCTGCCCCTCCCTTAGGCTGAGGGCTCTGCAAAGCTGGGGACCCCGAGCCCCACGGAGTCCTGTTTTATTAGCTCTGGTTCAGGGGGTGGGTTGCCCAAGGCAAGCTGCGGGGGAACCGGCACTTCACGACCGACTTTACGGCAGACGCTCCCCAGCGGGTCTTTACACTTGCCAATCGGAGCAATCACCTTGTAAAAGTCATGAACACGTGTAACAGGTCCAGCGGGAAGAACGGCTCCAAGACAAGGGAAGGGAAGGCGCAGGAACCCTCGCGGGACGTCCCAGCCTCTTCATCAATGCCCAGACCTACCAACGCTCTCATTCTTAAAAGAAGGGGCTTGGCACCTAGTGTAGATTTCAGGTCACCCCCAAAGGCGAGCGAGTCCTGCTCAGACGCCACGGCCCTGCCAAGGGAGCCCGTCCTGGGCGCCGAGGCCGGAAGGCCGGGGACAGCCTCCAGCGTGCGGCACGGAGGCGCCCACGAGGTGACGGGGGGCACCGGGGCCAAACGGAGGCGCCCCCCGCGGCCCCGCCCTCCGCGCCCCTACCGCGGCAGCGCAGCGACGTGGGCAAACGGCACGGCCAGTCCGGGCTGCGGGCTGCGGGCTGCGGGCTGCGGAACTGCCGGCCGGGGCCCGGGCCCGGGCCGGGGGCGAGCCTGGGACTTAGGCTTCGCGACCCGTGAGTGGTCCGGGCCGCGGGCGAGTCGGTGCCCACCCCGGCCCAGCCTGCCCGTGACTCAGCAGCGGCGATCCCGGGAGGCCGCCCGCGCCCGCGCTCACCGGTTGAAGTGATCCACCACACTGAGCAGCACCAGGGGGTGAACGACCACCTTCTGCACCGCCAGCTCCGGCATCGCGACGCACCCCGCCCGCCAGGCCTCAGCCCTCGCGACCCGCACACTCCGGCAGCCGCGGCGGCTCTCGCGGACGCTCCAGGCCCGGCCCCGCCCCGCCCCTTCCGGCCCGGCCGCCGCCGCGGGGCCGCCCCACTTCCGCTCCCAGAGTGCCGCGCGCGCCGCCCCGGGTTTTGGCGCCTGCTGCCATCTTGAGGAGGCGGGAGGCCGGAGGAAGGCGGGCCCCGCCCCGGGCGAGTCGCCGCGGGCTGCCCGGGACTTGGAAGCTCGAGGGGCCGCGGAGACTGACAAAGGTTGACCTCCTGGTGTGGGCCCTGCACCGGCACCCGCAGCGGCTGCTCGTTTTCGGTCTTCCCAGTTTGCAGCCCCCACCCCCACCCCACCCCCACCCCCACCGCATTTGAAGACCGGAGGAAAAGAATTCTAGAAAAAAAAGTAATTAACTCATATCTCCAACCACCCAGAAAATGGTCACCTTTGTTCCAAGCCAGGCTCCTGCAGAATTTCTTGACTTCAGGTCATTAGCGTTAGGGAACGTCGTTGAAGTCGATCTGGTGATTTATCACATCATTTTTTTTTTTTAATTGTTGGGGAATTAACCCTTAATAACCCCTGCGGACACTTGGCAGATCATCAGCCTGCCTTTGTGTTGTCCCACCGGTTTATGTTACTTAACCATTTAACCAGGGCTAGAAGAATTCAATTAATTGGTGCCTGGGGTCCGACCGTTCAGGTTGATTTTTCTTTTCCCTTTTTACATTTTTTTTTTTTTAATTTTAAGGTTTTATTTATTTGGCAGATAGAGCATGAACTGGGAGGAGAGGGAGAGGCCGATTTGGGTCTCTCTGGGATCCCGACCTGAGCTGAAGGAAGGAAGACACTTAACCTACTGAGCCACCCAGGCGCCCCCAGGTTGATTTTCAGATGAAAGTTTAGGTAAGGGTTGAAGTCAGGGTGAAAACCAATACGAAATATGTTTTGGTGTTTAGCTAGCAAAGAGAAAAAAGGAAGACGAAGAGAGGGGATAATGCAGGAGGCAAATTATTCAACTCCATACAAGTTTATAATTCTGATTTTAAGCAAGAACAATATTTAAGCAACTTGAATTATTTGCTTATTGTTTGCCCTGTCTTTTCTTTGTTTTTAAAGATTTTATTTATTTGAGAGAGAAAGCCTGAGCAGTGGGAGTGACAGGCAGAGGGAGAGAGAGGAGCAGATGGAGGGGGATGTGGGGCTGGATACCAGGAGGCTGAGGTCATGACCTCAGCTGGAGGTAGATGCTTTGCTGACTGAGCCACCCAGGCACCCCTGTTTGCCCTGTTTTTGTTTTGTTTTGTCTTAGGATTTTTGACTTATTTATTGGAGAGACACAGAGGGAGAAACAGAGACACAGGCAGAAGGAGAAGCAGGCTCGGATCCCAGGACCCCAGGATCATGACCTGGGCCAAAGGCAGGCGCTCAACCACTGAGCCACCCAGGGGCCCTGTTTGCCCTGGCTTTAAAGAACTTTTACCTTCCCCATAGCACCAGAGGATGTGGCTGCTCAGAGGAATACTCGAGACTTTTGCTCTGAATTTTGGTCTCCTTCCAGTGTACAGGGAGCTTTTGATATTCTTTCCTGGGTCCTACCCATCAATTTCATTATATGTACTCTTCCTACTTTTAGGAACACTGCTTAGGGTTTTCCTAATCGTCTTAATATTTTGATTTGGCTAATAATGATTGCTACTACTTAAGATAACAGGAGTTTAAGATGAAGAAGATTTGACTCAACCTCCCTTATGTGATGTGTTAAAGCATGCTTGCTGGTGTTTAGTGCCTGATTCAAAGTAGATATTCTTGTTTCATCTCTTATATGACGTTATTTCAACACAGGATAGACATGTATCTGTTAGGGGAAGAGCTTGGAAGGATTCCCTTCCCCCAATTTTGTTATTAAAAATTTATAGATATCAGAAGATCAAAGATTGATTTTGATTTTTCACATGTGTCAAGTAAGAGTTAAGAATTGGGAGTCTAGGGGCACCTAGTGGTTCAGCCGGTTGGGTGTCTGCCTTCGGCTCAAGGTAGGATCTCTGGGTCCCGAATGGAGCCACCACTTGGGCTTCCTGCTCAGTGAGGAGTTTGCTTTTCTCTTTCTCTCTCCCTCTGTCCCTCCCCACTGCTCCTTCTCTCTCTCTCTCAAATAAATGAAATCTTAAAAAAAAAAAAAAAAACTGGAGCCCGAAGAAAGCTTTATTTATATATTTATTTTTACTGAAATACAAGTGTTTAAAAAAGATAGCTTGAAATCATAAGAAAGGTATTTTTCCACCTGCCCCCCCCACTTCTAAATGGAAGTGACTTGAAATCATATTTCATATTATAGTCACTACTGGAGGCTGAATTCATTCAGAGGAATACAGAATAAGGTATAAGAAATCCACTTTCTGGGATCCCTGGGTGGCGCAGCGGTTTGGCGCCTGCCTTTGGCCCAGGACGCGATCCTGGAGACCCGGGATCGAATCCCACGTCGGGCTCCTGGTGCTTGGAGCCTGCTTCTCCCTCTGCCTGTGTCTCTGCCTCTCTCTCTCTCTGTGACTATCATAAATAAATAAAAAAAAAAAAAAGAAAGAAATCCACTTTCTTTTGTGAATTGAATTCTGGACTTAACTTTAAGAGGACCTGATGAGAGCTTAAGGATAATGTATTTTCCTCTCCTTTAATCATGTTTGTTTTTCTTTTTTTTTTTTACTGTTAAATTCTTTTTCCAGATGTATTGAGATGTATTTATTGAGATGTAATTAACATAACATTGTGTAAGTGTAACGTGTATAACATGTTGATGTGATATATATATATAGCAAAATAATAAGGTTAGTTAATACCTGCATCACCTCACATAATTAACCTTTTGTGTGTGTGTATGTATTGGAGGAGGGGGTTGAGAACATTTCAGATTTACTTTCTTAGGAACTTTCAAGTATATAAGCCAGTATTGGTAACTATAGTCACCGTAGTGTACATTATATCCCATCTTATAATTGGAGATTTGCACTTTTTCACCAACATCTCCCTGTTTTTCCCACCCTCTCAACCTCAAAATCAGTCTTTGATCTGATATCTATTAAATTTTTATTAACAAAATACTGTATGATCTCACTTGTATGTGGGATCTAAAAAGTTGAACTTAGAGTAGAATAGTCTTGCCACTGTTAATAATGCCACAGTGGACACAGGGGTACAGACACCTTACATAGTGATTTCATTTCCGCTGTATCTATACCCAGAAGTGAGTTGCTAAGTCATATAGCAGTTCCGTTAGTTTTTTGAGGCACCTTCGTACTTTGTTTCATAGTGACTGTACCAATTTACATTCTTATCAACACTGCACAGGGGATCCCATATTATCCCATATAACCTTGTCCTTGCCAGCACTTATCTCTTGTCTTTTTGATAATAGCCATGTTATTATGGTGTGAGATGATACCTCATTGTGGTTTTGATTTGCATTTCCTTAGTGTCTAATGTTGAGCATCTTTTCCTGTACCTGTTAGCCACTTGTATGGATTGAAAATTGTCTATCCAGATCTTCTGCCCATTTTTAAAAACTGTATTATTATTATTGTTGCTATTGAGATGTAGGAGTTCTTCATATAATTTTGATATTAACCTCTTATTAGATACATGGTTTGCAAATATTTTCCCCCTTCCATTCATTGCTTATTTTGCTTCACAGAAGGTTTTTAGTTTGATACAGTCACACTCATTTATTTATGCTTTTGCTGCCTATGCTTTTGGTGTCATGTCCAATATATTGTCAAGATGTCGAGGATCTGTTCATCCTATATTTTCTTCTAGGAGTTTTGCATTTTCAGATCTTACATAAAGGTCTTTAACCCATTTCAAGTTAATATTTGTGAATGATGTAGGATAGGGGACCAAATTCAATATTTTGCAAGTGACTCTGGTTTTCTCAGCACCATTTAATGAAGACACTATTATTTCCCCTTGAGTATTCTTAGGTCCCTTGTCAAATATTAGTTGATGTCTGAGCTCTCACTTTCTGTTCTATTGGTCTGTATGTCTGTTTTTATGCCAGTACCATACTCTTTTGATTTCTATAGCTTTGTAATAAAGTTTGAAATCAGGAGATGTGGTACCTTCAGCTTTGTTTGTTTTCCTCAAGATTGCTTTGGCTAATTGGGGGTCTTTTGCAGTTCCATCCAAATTCTAGGATTGTTTTTTTCTATTTCTGTGAGAAATGTCATTGGAATTTTGGTAGGGATTGCAATGACCTATGGACAGGCTCAGGCAGTATGGACATTTTAACAGTATTAATTCTTCTGATCCATGAGCATGGGATATCTTTCCATTTATTCATGTCATTTTTAATATTTCATCAGTGTCATAACTTTCTATGTACAGATCTTTTATCTTTGGTTAAATTTATTCCTAATTATATTTTTGATGCTGTTGTAAATGGGATTGTTTTCTTTATTTCTTTCCCAGATTTTTGTTGTTAGTGTATAGAATCCCAACTGATTTTTTAATAAGCATGTTTTTAAAAAATTATTTATTTAAAATGTTATTTATTTATTCATGAGAGACACAGAGAGAAAGAGTCAGAGATATAGACAGGGGGAGAAGCAGGCTCCATGCAGGGAGCCTGATGTGGGACTTGATCCTGGGTTTCCAGGATCAGGCCCTGGGCCAAAGGCAGCACTAAACCACTGAGCCACCCGGGCTGTCCTTAAAATTTATTTTATAAAGTAGGCTCCACACACAACATGGGGCTTAAACTCACAACCCTGAGATTAAGAGTCACATGCTCTACCAACTGAGCCAGCCAGGAGCCCCAGAATCCCAACTAATTTTATATGTTGATTTTGTATCTTGTATCTTAACTGAATTTGTTTATTTTTAACAATTTTTTGGTCGTCTTTAGGATTTTCTATATATAAGATCATCTCAAATAGAAACAGTTTTATTTCTTCCTTTCTGATTTGGATACAGTTTCTTTTTCTTGCCTGAGTACTCTGACCAGGACTTCCAGTATTGTGGTAAATAGGAGTGGTGGGAGCGGCCACTCTTGTCTTGTTCCTGATC